AGAGAAACAGCAGCCGTGAAGCAAAAGTAGAGGTGTAAATAGCCTGACGTCTTGTCTGCCTTTATCTTTTTGATACGTATGTCTTGTTACTAACTTAGCTGTGCTACGCCAGCTGTTGGGCTGCGCTAATAAAGTGAGTGTTACTACTTTTAAAGCGAGTTACGCGTAATGCGTTGAATTAACGAAGGTTTCCCATTTTCTTCCAGGTATTGAGACAGAGGAAGCAGATTTGTATCAGGAATGATTTTTTGGTAACTTTATCCTCAGGCTGTGTATTTAGCAGTACAACACGCTGAATAGCGAAATGTCCTCAAAGAAGAAAACGAAGAGAAATCATTCCGGAGATAAATTACAGGTAAGTTTTGCTATTTTGAGCAGAATTAAAACAGCAAGTGTTTTGTTGTTTTACCGTGCTTTTGTGGCCTTGGCTCCGGAGGTGGATGCGCAGGTGTAAACGCGGGGCTTTCTTGGGAACTGTGCGGTGCAGTCCCTGCTGGTGCAGGTTTGGGGTGCGTGGGTTTTTTCCTTTTCCTATTCTTCTTTTCTTTAGGAGTAGTACAGCATCAGGCAAAATGGGCTATTGACTTTCAAACAGGCAAAAATTTGAAAATGGTCTTGTAAAATTAAAGAGAACAGCTTAAAGAGAAGACAGTTGATGTGTCTCTATTCGGTACTGTAGCAAAACCTGTGAGGTGCTGCGAAGTGCTAGTAAAATTAAAAGCTCGGGAAGTTGATGTTTTCTTCTTGTAATTCCCTTTCCATGCACATACACACAAATGAGTGAGGAAATTTACTCCCACGCTTAAGGTGTGAATGATGCGTTTATAAATATTTCATAGACTAGTGCCATTCTCCCCTACCCTTCTGCTATACAGAAGTGTCTATGTGATACTTGACTTACAAATTCTACCTTTTACAATAAGTTACACATAGCTTTTGATTTTTTTAAAGTGTGAATCACTAAATTTGACAAGGATGGACATTCATGTAATACAGAGATGAAAGAAGAAGTATTTTAATACCTAAAACTAAAAAGGCCATAGATGATAAAAACCAGATATTAGACTGTTACAAAATTTCAAAGCTTATACGCTTAGTTTTATAAAATAAGACAAAGCTGATGCAACGGTACAAATAGCAGAATCTATCAGTTTTATACCATCACTTCCCTTAGGAGAAAAAAAAGATAGTCTGAGGAAAAAATACATGCTTCAAATACTTTATATCCTAGCTCAGTAGTCAATATGGTCCGGATTAAATGTATTTCTAGTCAAGTGTTCTTGAAATTCATTGTAATATTTAATCTGTTTTACACTGAAAAAGCTGGATGAACTAGCTGTTGATTTCATGCCTATCCAGGAACACAAAGGCAACTCCCATCCTCGCTGGAAATTGCTTCCACTTGAGGAACCAGATGTCTCAAGGATATTGAAGGTAGCGGAAGCAAATCAACTTGAGGAGCTTGATGATTCATTTGGTTAGTATTAACTTCTATGTCATTTAATGTATGATTTACGTGAACAAACCATATGGGCAAAATATTTCAATTCTTACTTAGGAAAAGGTAGTGGTTTTTTTTCCAGAGAAAATTATGCACAGGAGAGACAGAGGCTTTTTTTTGAGGGTGGTTGTTATTTTCTGTCATTTAGGAAGTAACAAGAATAATGCTGTAGTATGTGCGAGTAAAAGCTGATAGAAAAATACTGGCTATTCAAGCTTTATAGTCTAAATGGTAGAATTTAATGCAATATAACATTACAATTGTGTAAGAGTTTACATTTTAGAAGGAAAGTTCAATATCTTAAGTTACTCTCTACTACATTACATAAATCATGAAGTGAATTTTTTTGCTATTGTAAGAGTATGCATGGCAGCAAACTTAGACGGTCACAGGGATGTTGTTCTGCTTAAAAAGTAACATCATAAAAACATACTATTTTTGGTGAAGCATTAAAACCCACTTTCATGCTCCGTATGGGACTTGTGCAGTGAGGCCTCAGTACACTGGAAGAGAATCAATTTAGATGGAATATGTGCCCCTGTGTGAAGTTCTCTGTTATTAAATACATATAGCTCTTACATGTCGGTAAGAAAAATCTTTGAAAAACTGTGTAATTAGAAGTCGTAGAGAAAACACTAAGAGCTGTTTCTCAGTTGTAATATTTATTACTCTAAGAAAATTATGGGAATGTACATGAAACATAGCAGGTGGATGAGTATAGAAACTATGAAGCTTTTATATGTATTTTTCCTAAGCCTCAAATAATACTTTGAACAAGAATTCCTTTGTATTAGTGAGCAAACCACAAAAATTCTAACTAAATGCTGAATGGCAGGCAGTGCTAGCATGTCCGTACTCTTTGCCTGAACAGAAGGGAACAATTTTCATATGGCTTATTTTCTGTTCTTTATAGATCACCCGTTGCACAGTACTGCTGTGGATGCTTATGGAGAGGAACATTCACAAAACGAGTCACTTGGTCATGTTTCAGCTCCACAAAGGAAAAATACAGCAAGAAGGTCTGGTGAAAAAAATAATTGCCAGCATTTAATTTAATCCTTAGATTTTTAGATTCAATGGGGAAAATGTTCTGTTTGTCAGGTTTCCCTAGTTGCTTATTAAACAGATGCTTTAACTTAAAATTTCTCAGATGAGAAAGCAAAAGGATAAGGAAGATTGGGGAATGTAGAAAAGAAATGGGAGAATAAATTAGTGTTTGCCTTTTGCAAGCAGTACATTGATTTAAGTGCTTACTGTATTTTTTCTTTTAAGTTGAAAGATCTTAAAATAGCTCTGTGAGATATTAATTAGTCCTCTAAATGCTGGTGTCTTTAAAGTTAAAAAGTAAAAAAATGGAAAACAGGTAAAAGCCAGTTAAACTATATGTAACAAAGAAAATTCATTTTAAAAAATCCTTTAATACATGTTTTAGTACATTTCTCATTTGTTAAATCAAATTTGGTTTAAATCCGAAATCGTTCTTATTTGAATGAAATAGCAAGACAATAATAGAGCTTATATGACAGTGTGTATTTTTTCGTTGGTTTTTGAGTTGTAACCCTGCCCCGCCACCAAAAAAGCCTTCTCCTTTCCTGCTAAAATATCCTCAATAATAATCTTGTTTCTGTTTCGAAGTTTCTCCTCAAAACAACATGGCTATCCCAGTGGTCAGTTAGTAATGGATTTCTAATTGTCGCAAGGGTTGCTGTTGAGGGATAAGGATTCTGTTCCCTTTATACACCATTTGCAACTTTATGTAGTTGATTTAGGAGAGACAAACTGAATGATACAGCAATACAAAATGTTCCCCAAAGCCTAAGATTTTGTTGTTTATATGGGTGAAGATCATTCTTTCTCAGTGTGTAGTGGGTTTACATGTGGGTATTTTTATTTTCCTAGTAAAATACCGCATCGTTCGAAAACGTCTGGTGGTGTTCAGAAATTCAGCACGGCTCATCCTGAAGATGAACCCCTTAAGGAGAACATGGTACAGAGAAAGTTTCATGAGTTTATCAGTCAATTTCATTTTAATTCACTTCATGCCACGCTTGCATTAGAGAGGAGGGGAGAGCAAGACCTTTCATTTGTTTCTTAGTACTTCCTTAATACTTAATTGTGTCCCAAATAATTAATCCTCAAAGTATTCCTGTGAGATACCCAAGTGAAACGTTTAAAGCTACAGTCATAATGTCAGTGGGTAACATAATAGCCAGGTGTTCCTGCGTCCTGTAGCCTGTTCTCTTGCTCATTTGGGAATATGTTCTTCTTTCAAGTATTTTCTTTATATCTGGAATGTATGTTCTTAAAGAATGGCATACTAGATGGAATATAAATCCCTTGTACTTGTTAAGTATTGAAGTAAGAATATATTTATGAGAGAATTGAATTTTTCATTGATAAAATTAATTTTTAATATATATTAGAATTTGACAAAAACCACTTGGTTTTGAATGAGTGTTTTCTCAGACTGCAATTAGTGTAAAATGCTTTTGGCCCACTTAGCATCCAGGTGTACAGTGGAAGAGTTAACTATCTGCAGACTTGAGAAAGTAGGCCTGTGATAAAAGAAGCTATGCAGTAGTTTGCGTAAAAGGTTATTACATATTGAAATTCATTAGAATTCTTGAAAATCCTTTTGTAAAATTCAGTACAGAGTGGTAGTCTTTCATCAGTAAACTGCGTGTATGCAGCATTCTCTCAGAATTACTACTTTGTGTTGGTGTCACAAAGTAGTCTTAAGTAGAGAAAGAATTGGGACAGAATGTGGGTGAAAAGGAAGGTAAGGAGGCACTGTTGATGAGAGAATTGTTAATACTGGGCGATGACTGTGCTGAACTGAGGGGCCCTGTGCTCCTTAAAAAGGTTCCTCCTGCTGCACGGCCAGTGGCTGACATGTCAGTCTGTCAGTGTGGTCAGGCAGCTGCTGTCCCTCAACAGTGTGATCACTTGTGCTGTGATTCTGGTGAAATAGCCCTAAGTAAACATTACTGACGTTTCAGTCATGAAAAGCTGAATTACTTCCGTGTGTTGCTATCTCTCAGAATTTTAAATGAGTAAACCTAGGGGGTTTTTTTAAGTTAATCTGCTTTTTATATCACAGAAGGCTCTGAATACTGCTCAATTCCAGGCAAAGAAGCAGCAGCGACCTTCAGAGAAGAACACATCAGATCCTGCTGGTAAATTAGACTTTTCAAAACTCCCGTATGGCTTTTCCTCATTCAAGATGAGTGCTTTTCCATAACTCAACGGTTTTCATTTCTGATATGTAGCAGCGTCCTACTTGTAGAAATGGGAGATTTTAGTTTCAATTTTGGTCTAGGCAGTCATTAGCAATGGTTAAATGAGGGAGCTGGTGTGCCACATGGCTCTGATCCCCGTGGTTTGCATCCCTGGACTTGCCTATTACTCCCCTGGAGGGTAAAGCATGGGTGTGCATTATCCCTGGTACGCAGCCTGGTTCCCTTTGGAGGGAAGCCTGGGTCCACGGGTATGGAGCTGTAAGACACTTAGGTGTGTCCCTTGGTCTGGAAACCTGGAGCGCCAGGCTGTGGGGCAGAGGTTGGAGTGACCCTGACTTACCGTGTAGGCACAGCTGTTAGAATAAAGACCTTTGAGATAGGGAGCTTCAAGACAGTGGCATTTTTTGGTATAGAGAAACTGTTTCTCAAGCGTCAGCTTGCTTCCTCTGAAGTGTACCCCATCATGTTCAAGTACTAGATTTACATTTGGGAGTGTGTGAAGAAACACAGTTTAAGGTTTTGTGGAATTAGCTAGTAATACTATTGCAAAGTTTAAAGAAACATGTTTGTATATCACTTTTTTTGAAGCATATATGGTATTAATACAAAATGTATACAAATATGACATAACAACTCATGATTCTTTGAGTAATGCAGGTTGCCCAGACTCAGGCTAATAGTTTTTACAGCACAAATGGCTATATCTACAGTACACTGCATAGTTTATCAGTTAGTGTAATAACATGCTCCTGGACTTGTTTGAACTGATGAAGAATAAATTGTATATAAGTGTTCATCCAAATTCTGAAGTGTTCCCAGGTAAGTCTATCATAGTTGCTCAGCCAAAGACAGATGAAATAATTAATATTTCCCCCTTCTCAAGTTTCATATTAAAATGTTCATAACTTTTAGGTGGTGTCGTGGTTTAACCCCAGCCAGTAACTAAGCAC